CTCTCGGCTGCCTCTCTCGGCTCCCTCTCGGCTCCTCTCGGCTCCCTCTTGGCTGTCTCTCGGCTCCCTCTCGGCTCCCTCTCGGCTCCCTCTTGGCTGTCTCTCGGCTCCCTCTCGGCTCCCTCTCTCGGCTTCCTCTCGGCTTCCTCTCGGCTCGCCTAGGCCCACCACGGCTACCTCTCGGCTCAGCCCTCCGACCTCTCCGGACGCAGGTTGCGATGCTCGCGCTGAACAACGTCAACCCGGTGACACACGCGGTCGCAAACACGCTCAAGCGCGCCGCCACCCTGCCCGCCGGTGTCGCCCCCTGCACACACACCTGTTTTCGAGGTCCAGCTCCGTGTTGCAGCCGCGTCCCTTCTCCCCGCCCGCGCGGCGTGCGGCCTTTGCGCGTTCTTCGCTGGTGGAGAGCGCGGCGTGTTTTCTTTTCCCCGCAGGCGTGTCGTGATCCTGCTCGCGTGCGTCGTCTTCTTCAAGACGCCGATGACGCCGCTCTGCATCGCCGGCTCGACGGTGCGAGATATGGGGAGATATGGGGAGATATGGGGAGATGTGGCTCGTCGGCGCGAGATTCGCCGAGAGCCGCCGAGAGTCGCGGAGAGTAGCCGCGAGCAGCCGAGAGCAGCGAGAGCAGCCGCGCCGCCGCGCGGACGCCGCTCTGGGGGGGGGGGGGGTTGGCGCTGCGTTAGGACGGCGTCTCTTCACAGCAGGCTCGGTGTCGGACTAGGTGGCGATCGTCGGCTCCTACCTCTACTCGATGGCCAAGGGGCGCGAGAAGGCGCTGGCCAAGGCCGCCGCCAAGAAGGGGGCGGCATGACCATGAGCCACCGCGCGGCTTGCCGCAACGGTCGCGCCGCGCCGGGTATTGCTACCTCAGTAGGTCCCGCGGCGTTTGGGTCTTGCTCCAGCGCCCATAGGGTGGCCTTGATTGCGCGCCGCCTCCCGGACGAGGGAGGGCGGCGCGCCCTATTTGCCGCGCGCTGGCTTGTGTACAGACGGCGTTATGGCCCCTCTCTTCACGCCGGAAATTTCTAAAAAAGAAAGGTGTTCCACGGCGGGGAAGCGGGGGGCCGGGGCGCCGTCCCCGCCGACTCGTCGGCCGCTGGGGCTGGGGGGGCGGGCGAGGGGGTGGGGGCTGGGCGTGGGGGAGCGGGACAGGATCTTGGAGTGTTTGGACGCGCGCCAAAACGGTCCGTAATTCTAATTGGCCATGTGTATCCAACCCCCGCCGCGCTTTTTTCTTAGAGAAGCAAGCGTTGCGAGTCCGAGGAGTTGCTGTACGCTTCCTGTAACGTACGCGCTGATGCGCGCGAGACGGAATATTCTGACATGTAGTACGGAGGGCGACGGGCGGAGGACACGAGTAGTGGAGACGCCTGGCCAGCGCTCAACATAGGTAGACCGTGTCACGCCTCTGCTCTCAAAGCATCTTCTCCCCCGAGCTCTGGCTGGGCTCGCCACCCTGCTTCGGAAGAAGCTTGGTGCACCCATAGGCGAGACCCGCTACCAACAACGTCAGCAGCGCCACGACGCCCACCATGAGGGCCCAAAGCGGGATCGCCGAGGCGGGACCGCTCGCGCTGCAACCGCCCGCATCCTGCTCGGTCAAAGCCGCCATCTCGTTCACCAGGTCGGCGAAAAAGGGGGCCCAGGGGCTGAGGAGCTCAAGAGGGATGGGCTCGTCGAGCAGGGTTCTCTCGAGAAAGTCCATCCCCCTCGCGACCCCCTCGCTGATGTCGAGAGCTTCCACGGTCGCACTCAGCGTGGGCGCGCCGCCACTCACCCGCGCGTGCACGCAGGAGACGCCTCCCATCACATCGCCGACACTCAGCATCCACGGCCGCACCGCGCCGCGAGCCGCGAAGCCAGCATCGTCGGCGGGGTAGAGGCGGAGCGGTGCCGCGACGGATACGTCACGGAGCCGCAAGCGCGCCGACGTCTTGATCGTGGTCTCGGAGCCGAGCTGCGACGTCTTCTTTGGCAGGAGCAGCTCCAGCGACACGCGTGCGTCCAGGTACTTGAGCGTAAGGTGGGCCGTGTCTCCCCCTCCCTCCACCTCTAGCTTCGTCAGCGGGGCGTGGAGCCGTGTCTCGAGCGTCACGTCTGACACGCGGATCGACGGGCGGTCTGCATTCGGGAGGAGACGATACAACGCGCTGGCACCCACGGATGACTTCCACGTCGCGCCGTCAAGGAGGGTGCCTGTCGGCGCCAGCCGGAGCGCCTCATCGCCAAACCTGAGGAATATGGGCTGCAGCGCGGCCAGGTCGGCCATCGACAGACCGAAATTGACCACCATGCCAAAGGCGTGGCCGACCCCGAGCCAATTCATCCACGACCCTGATGGAGACGATGCTTCCCCGTCTCCAGCGTCGCGGGCGAGTGTCTCGCTACCGCACGGCCGCACGCTGGCGCACTCCTCGGCGGTGAGCAGCTGTCGCAACACCGAGCCACTCAACGCGTGCGTCAGCGATGCACTCCCCGCCACGCCGCTGGCCGGCAAAGCATTGACGTTCGTGAGGACGAACCCGAGCAGTTCGTTGAAGAAGGCAGCCGCGTCCTCTTCCCAGTCACCACCAGCGGCACGCGCATGAATGTTGACGTCCCCATCGACGCTAAAGTCCTGCAGCCCGAGCTTGAGCAGCGCGCAGGCGAAGATCGAGGCGCCCTTTTGCATGTGGAGGAGCGAGCTCTGCGTGCTCGTGGTGAAGTTCTTGCCCACCATGCCAAACTGAATACGCTGCTTGATGGCCTTGGACGGGTCGAGCTCGTAGCCCCGCGCTTGGCTGCCGCCAAGGCGCGGCCCCTCCGGCTCCGCCGTCGGCAGCCATATGAAGTTTGCGGCCGCTCGCACCTCGAGGAATTCAAAGTCCAGCGTGGCGTTGAGGTCGTAGCCAAAAATCAAGCTCATGAAGGAGCTATCTGCGACCGTCAGGTTCAGCTCAACTAGCTCGAACTGCGCCAGGCCCGACTCGGTGCGCGGCGCGGCGTCGACGACGATGCCGCCTCCGCTGCTGGTGAGCGGACTGCTGCCGAGCATGGCCTCCGCCAGGGCTGCGAGCGCCGGCGTATCGAGCACAAGCTCGGTTGCGCGCGGCTCGTCGTTTCGGGGCGGCCGTGCCTCGCCCATCCGGTGGAAGACTGAGAGTGGCGAGAACGGCCCGCTGAGCACCGTTTCGGAGACAAGGTTGAATAGGCGGCAGCCCTCCGAGAAGACACATCCCGCGCCGCCGTCGGCCGACTCGTTGCGTGGCTCCGGCGGGGTAGCCAGCTTCGTGTGCCGTGGGAAATTCTGCTTGACGATCGCCTCCACGAGACCCGTACGTATCATCGGCGTCACAGCACGCATCAGCTCGTTGGTGAATCCCGTGTTTGAGGACTGCTCCGTGTCAAACACGTGGACCTCGAGCCGCCCGATCGACATGCCCGCCACCGGACAGCGCATGTCGAGGGGCCGGCAGGAGCAGCTCTTCGTCGGCTTGCACGCCGGGTCTGCAAAGCCCAAGTTCTGGATCAGGTTACCGTCATCGTCGGCCTCGAAGCCAACAAAAATCTCCGCGCCGATCTTGATGTCGCCGAGGTCGATGGTCATGCTCGAGTCCGACAGGTGGTGCGCGACCAGGCCCGACGCCTCGTCGCCATGGATCACCGCCGTGCAGGTCATCTCCTTGATGTGTATGGCGATGCGCAGCCTCCGGCCCGAGTCGGGTGACGTTTGACTCAGCAGACTCGAGTCCTTCTCGACAAAGGCCTCGGCGCTGAATGGCGCGCGGCGGATGTAGGAGCACACCAGGTGCGACGCGACGAGGCTCTTGATCTTGATCGTGCCAGACAGAGGGATCTCCACCTCGACCCAGTTCGAGTTCCCCCACCCGTCGAAATACGCGCTTGGCAACGGGAGCGTCTCCTGCCCCCCAAACAGCTCCAGCAGCGGGCCGAGCAGGCACTGTGGCCGAGCGCCCCACCACGGAGGGCCGATGACCCAGCATCCGTCGGGCGGCCCGTTATGGTTTGCACTGCTCTTCTTGTTGGAGGGCGGGTGCCACGTCGCGTCGCAGCTGGCGGTGCCTGGTGGCGTGCGTGGCGGCCGCGGCGGTAGAGGAGGAGGCCTGGGCGATATTGGTGGGCGCGGTGGCGGTTTGGGCGGTGGCGGTGACGGTCCGCGCTCGAAGGAGAGCCGCACGTCGAGATAGCGCGAGTCTCCGCCTGACAGGCGGGCAGTATAGGGGCCGCTGCCTGTGGCGGCAAGCAAAGGCACGGAGGCAGAACAGCAGAGCGAGTCGTGGAGCCCCAAGTTGTCGACGTCGAACAGCTCAAACGTGACTTGGGTGTCCTCCCACACCACGACGTCCGGAAACGTGGCGCAGCAGTGACTCCAGTACGCGGTGGGCGGCCCATCACGCAAGTCGTTCATCATCGACCCCAGAATCGAGGAGCTACAGCGGTGTGCTCGCTCGCAGTATCGCCCGTCGCAATCGTATCCGAACTTCAATTCGACGGCCCAATCGGGGGCGGTGCCCCAGTCCATGTTGGGCAGCCCGAGGCCGTGGACGTCGAGCACGCAGATCTGCAGGTCGTCGAGAGAGATCAAATCGGGGAAGACCGGAGGCAGGCCGCGTGCACGCGGCCCTGCGTCACTCACCGTCAGATTTGCGACCGGGTCGGACCAAACGGGGAGAGCGCTCATGCGGGGCGACGACAGAGGACGCACGTCTCGCGCCGATAAATTTTGGGGTACAAAAAAGATCCTCGCCGCCGTGCCTGTGGAGAAAAATGACTTCTCTCGCTCTCAAACTAAAAGAGTCGCAGTTCCCTTGCTCCAAGCGCTTGCGTTTCGGCGGTAGTGATCTGATCACCCGAATGCCACGTTCGGATGCAGTTCACCCTGGGGTATGTTCTCGAATGTTCGTAAAGATCCACAGCCTTGTTGAGAGGAAAATACGGCCCCATACACACATGAAGAGAGACTCTGGCGTTACGGTTGATAAGGGATCGATGGCAACGCCAGCTCGCTCCGTCGCTGCAGCGGAAGCGGCTGCCGCGGCGCCGGAAGCGGCTGCCGCTCCGGAGTCGTCGGCGGCGACAACTGCGCTCGTCCCCGCCACCGACGCAACCGCGGTGTTTCCGGCATGGCTTGAGCGAGCAGAGACGGCGATGCAAGCAGCAGCTGCGGCGGAGAGGGCGCAACGCGAGGCGATAGTGAATGCGCAATGCAAGGCAGACGAAGCCATAGCAGCGGCGCTGGCGGAATGCAAAAAGAGTGAGCAGGCCGCGGAGCAGCGGGCTGCTAGAGCTGACGCCAATGCTGCGAATGCGAGGGCTGAGAGCCGGGCAGACGAAACGATTGCAGCGGCGGCCGCCAAGGTGGAGGAGTGCGAACGAGAGGTGGCCGCGGCAGCCAATGCGCTCGAGAAGAACACCGGCGAAACTACGGGTGAAGCCGCGACGCCACCAGAGGCGGAGAAGAAGGGCGGGGGCGAGCCGCAACAGCAACTCACCCAGCAGCGAGAGCAGGCGGACCGGGAGGTGGAGGCAGCGTACGCAGACGTGCCACGCGTGCGGAATGCGGCCAAAGAGCTCTTTCACGCCAAGGTGCGCAAGGCGCGCGCCGAGGCCGAGCACACTGTCGCGCTTGCCGCCAAGGAGACGAGGGCGAAAGTGGCGGCCATGCGGCACGCGATGGCGGAGGCGCAGGCAGAGATGCTCGTCTTGGAAGAGGACGAGAGCAGAGGCGGCGGGCCGGGCACGGGCCGCTTCACGCGAGCGTCCAACATGACGCTGGCCACTCTATAACTACAGCGTTGGTTTGTGTGGTGAGCTGGTGTCGTGGCGACGGCGAGCCGCTGTCTCTCGTGTCTCTATCACACGTGCAGCGTCTTGGACTTGGTCTTGTTGACACTGTGTCTGGGTCGGGCGCGGCCGAGGGTCCCACCTTCCACCTGTCCCCGCACATAGCTGGTGCAAAGGCGGGGCGCTGCGCCGTTGCCAAAGAGCGATCACGCAGACCGTCTATAATAATATACCCAAAACAGCATTTGCTGCTTGCTGGCCACACCCGACCGACACACGTTACTTTCGTTACTCTCACCAAACGAATAGAAACAGCCAAAGAGCCAAACTCAAAAGCCTGCTCGAACGCTCGAACCGCGCGGGCCAAAGTACCACAAATCTCTGCACGCGAAGCGCACAGCCTCTTCAGCCCAGCAGCTCTTCCAGGTTGGCCGGCCTCGAGTAGTCGCAGTTCTCGCCGGAAAGGCTGGAGAGGAGGGCCGCCATGTCGCCGGAGAAGGCGGCGCCCTCGCCAGGCGGGCTGCTCACGACGTCAAAGGAGCGGCCTCGCGCCTCGGGCGTGTCGAGCGCGAGCACGCAGAGCGCGGCCACGTCCTCGCGAGGGATGACGCGCCCGGCGGCGTCGCGCTCCATCAGCGCATCGTCCACCCCCACGACCAGCGCTCTCTGTCCGCCTGCTCACACTCGAGGGAGGCGGGTGTGAAGAGGCGCTGAGCTCGCCGCCGCCGCGCGAGCTCGCACGTCGGCGCCTGGGGCGGGCTCCTTCTGGCCATAGTGCGGGAGCAGGCCGCCGGGGTGGATGACCGTGTACTCCAAGCCGGAGGCGATGAGCTCCATTTCGGCGCGCCGCTTCCAAAGCACGATCTTGTCCATCGACACGTTCAGAAAGTGCTCCGGCAGCGTGCCTGCCATTGATGTTCACATTGATGTTCACTACCGGTATAGCACTGCCATTTGAGAACATCAATAGTGCCTGCCATCGAGGAGAGCAGCACCACGTGCGACACGCCCGCCGCCTTGGCCGCGGCGATCTGCACTCGCGTTCCCTCGTAGTCGACATCGCGCGGCGCCGCCCCCGCGGGGAAGGAGAAGCGGGGCTTGGCGTCCTTGTTGCCCATCATCTTGCCAAAGATGACGCCCGGAAGCGACCAAAAGTCCAGCTTTGGCTTTGCGCTCGTGCAGATGATGAGCGCATCGGCCCCACCGAGGGCAGTCTCCAGGCTCGCCCTTGCGCCCGGCCCAGTCACGTCCGTGAGGGCAACGTCCAGATTCGCGTAGCTGGCGCACAGCTCGTCCGCCTTGTCCTGCGACCGGACGACAGCCAGCGGCGTGTGCCCGCGCTCCTGCAGCTTACGCACGACAAGCGAGCCCGTCAAGCCCGAGGCGCCAGTGACCGCCACCTTCATAAGGCAAAGCGAATGCTGGCTGCGAGGCGCCCAACGATGGTCGGCAAGACGAGGGCACCGCTGGTTCCTCTCGAGGTTCTCGAGGTGGATATTCTTTCGCCGCGTTGGGTAGCGAGGATTGGTGTGACGCGATCCACGCGCTGGGTTCCGGCTCCTACCCGGAGAGGGGGTCTGTCAACACTGACTCGCGCCAACGAGGGCGGCGCAGCGTAGGCCTCGAGCAACACGAACGAGTCGCCGACAACCCTTAGGGGCCTAGAGAACACAACCCCCTCTCCCTTTTCTCCCAGTAAGCTAAAGGTACGTACACACAACATTTTACCTCCCCCGGATGCGGCGAGGCTGGTGCCTTTAACGTTAGGCGCACACACAGCTCGCCAAGATACGATCTTGAGAAACACCGCCGCTGCCCCGGTGGGTCGCCAGTGAGTGGGTGTTTTTGCCACTGAGTTCTGGCGCCGTGGACTTACGCCTGTGAAGGGCTAGAGTCGCGGGTTAGAGAGAGTCCATTCGTTTTCCGTCGCGCCGCCAGCTCGTATTGCGCTGCATTACCGCTTACCTTACCAGTAGTCCGGGAATCCTCGCTGCCACGGTGGGTCGCCAGTGGGTGTTTTTGCCACTGAGTTCTGGCGCCGTGGACTTAGGCCTGTGAAGGGCTCTCGTATCGTCTTACCTTTTCCAGTAGCCTGGGGCCGCGCACTCGTTTTCCCTGCGCGTATGCCGGACTCGCACCGATTGTTGATTCGCTATTGACTTCGGCCCCAGGGTCGTTCGCTATCGTCTTAATACACATCTTCCCAGTCCGCATCATATTTCCCGCGGTCGTCGTCGGGCAGTAGTAGGCTCGACAGGTGCTCCGAGATTAGTCGTCTAGTTACTGCAGTAGTTTGTGCCCCAGGAAAACGAGAACGCGTACTCTCCTGCACGACAGCACTGGTAGTCCTCTCCGTCGTAACTCCAGTAACATGTGCGCGATTCGCAATCAATGTGTTCTTCGCAATGGCGGGACAAGTCGGGGAGACCGTCTGGATACACGATTGCCTGCTTGATCCGTACCATTGTCGTAAACAAAAGATGGTAGCCGTTCCCGACGAAGGAATTGATTGCCGCAGCGGCGGCGCACAGCGCCATCGAAGCAAATTGACCCAAGGAGCCGATCACAGGGACAAAGCTAAGAGCCGTGCCGATCTCGTTCCTGTACTCGCACAAGTTGGACACTCTCGGCGTGAAATCGGTATCAGTCTCATACTTGAACGGGTTGGGGGTATTTGCCCACCACGCGCCTTTCCATTTGAGGTTGATCACGCGCGTGCCCACGTGCTCGTATCCCATGGATGTAGAAGGAACCGACGGAACCAAGTCGCCCTCGCTTACCCAGCGAGTCGAGTCAATCGCGAGACCCTTCACGAAATCAGCCCCCTTGACGTCGTTTCTGTTGCGGATTGCCCAGCTCGCTGTTCCGGGAAAGAGTCCACTCAGCCGCACGGCCGTCCGCGCGAAAGTAAGCACGGAGTTGGCATTGCTCACTCCGAGGTCGAGAAGTGCTGGGCACTCCGCTTCACCTGTCAGGCACGCCAGCGGCTCCAGAACAGGCTTGAGCTCCTCTCCCAGCGCGGCAACACCCTCAATACCGCCTTCAAGGATGGCGGCTTGCATTGCATCAAATTTTGATCCGGCCGCAAACGTGGTGTCAAGCAGGGCGTCGGTAAAGTCGTGGCCCACCCCCTTCAAAGTAGCCTTCAGCGCTTCCTTCACAGACATGATGTCGCCTCCATCCTCCATAGCCCTCATAGCGGCCTTCACTCCGGCGGCCTTGAGAGCTGCAATTGCCTTTTCATCGATCTCGGGGAACTCGTCATCAAACAGCTCGGCCCCTTCCTTCCAGACTCTCGGAGATGAAAAGGTGTGCAGCTTCACCTCACAACCGTGCAGCTTCAGGTCCACCGCACCAATGTTTGCCAGCGCGCCGCCGAGGCTGTGGCCGGTCACAATTATCGTCGAGTCGCCTGCCTCTCTGCAGAACTCCTCTGCGCTCCAGCCAGCAGCACGGAGCTCCTCGTATTGCCAAACCCACCCCATGCCTGCAGCGTACTTGCAGTTGGTCGAGTCTCCATCTCCTGCAGTGCACATGCAATTCTCTGCAGCGCATGTTTCATGGCCCGGACCAAGCTCCACGTATTTTGAAACGGCAGCCGCCAAATCCTCCACGCCGTCTTTAACGCCTCCGGTGCCGGAGAAGGATACCACGTACTCGTCGTTGCCTCGCTTCGCAACGAACATGAATGCTCCGGAGTCTGTGTCCGACTCGGAAGTGTATTCCACCACAGAGGAACCCAAGTCGAGGGCGTCATCCTGGATGACGTTGCATCTGGGCCCCGAGCCGAAGAGTGTCTCCTCGATCCCCTGAAGCGGCGGCTTAAATGTGCGCACGCATGTCAGGGTTGGCATGTCAGGGTCTCCGCAAGTGCCACATGTGACGGGGCAGCACTTCATGTCCTCCGCCCATGAGCTGCAGTACTGTGAGCTGCTGGCGCACTGGTATCCGGCGCCCCACGCTGGCTTGGACTGCAGGCAGCTGTCGTTGTCGGTGCACTCGGCCGCGGGCGTTGTCCAACTCGCGCCGTATTCGTATTCGTATGCGAGGGCCGCTAGCTTTGCGAGGTTAAGTCCTCGCTGGAGGTTCTCGGCTGAGATTGTGTCTGTCCATTTCGCGGTGTTGGCGTACTGGACGGAGTTCGTCGTCGTCTCGGCCTCGTTGTTCCCGCGGGCGGCCCTCCACTCGTCATAGGGAATGCTCATCGCGGCAGCTGCAGTCTGCATCGCGGTCAGACCCAAGCGGAAAACATCTTCACCCATTTGCCATGTATTTTGCCCGTCAACGTAGAAACCGCAGTGCAGCTTCGCATCGTCGGGAAACATGGACGCGTACCCGGAGGATAAGACCGTGACATGCCCGACCGGCATATTCGGAAACTTGCTCGGGTCCTCCAACGCCATCCTGAAGGCGGTGTGCTGCGCGTCTGACCTTGACATGCCTCGTGTCGACATGAGCAGCTCCGTGCGTTTGTTGACTTTGCGCATATCGGCCGTTGTGAGTTTGTCCGTGCGTCTCTCGGCCCGCGCGCCGTGCATGCTCAGAGTGTGGTTGAGCCCCGAAAACAGGCGCAGATGGTAGTCTTCCTCGTTCATGTACTCAGGCCAGTGGACGTCGCACACCTTACCGGGGCATCGCTGCTCGAACTCTTCCGACGGCTTGGCCGGGCAGGCGCGGCGCCCCGCGACTGCATCGGAGGTCTTGCGGTCGCTGCCGAGTTCTTTGGTTGTGAAGAGAAGTGCGCGTGCGCAGCGCTGCCCCATGGAGTAGGTTGCCATGCCGATGAAGCCGTAAAGCCGCGCGTTGTGGTACGTGTCGGATGAGTACGAAAATATGGGGAAGTCGGGACGCTCATCCAGGCAGGCGTTGAGAGCGTTATCGATGCGTTCGTATTCAGCAGAGCCCTCAAGGTAGGGGAGGTAAAACAAGAGGGCGCCACCCTTGCGCTGCTGGCAGGCCTCGTGAATACTTGCCTCATATCGATCGACATCCATCCCGTTCGTTTCTGCAATGCCCAATGACAAGAATTTGAGCTGAATGCCCGGCGTCGATTTGACGCCGGCCGCGAGGCCAGCCTCGAATGCAACATACCACGGGGAGGCCTGGGCGTCTCGCACCTCTGGAATCAGTTCAGTGATCACGTAGACCACCTCGCTGCTGCCGCCGTCTGGCGACGGCAGCAGGTCGGCCACCACGGGGTCGGGCGCAGGGTTGAAAGGAGCAAAGAGGGCGCCGCGCGCAGTCTCAGTCTCGGTCGGGAGCGCCGTCGGGTTGAAATCCTTCTCCGGCGTGATATTGGAGAAGTCGACGACCTGCGCGGGGTAAGCGGGGATGTCAAGCACCATGTGACCCTATTCCGTCTCAGCCTCGGGAGGCTATGGCGCTCACCGGGATCGCGGCCGCGTCGGGCACGAGCACCGACTCGAGGAGCTCGGAGGAGACGCCGCCAGAGCCGTACGAAGAGAGTGCAAAGGCCGAGCAGCACAGACCGATCGCCAGGGTGAGGAAGACGCACAGCAGCTTTGTCGAGCAGAACTTGCCAAAGCGGAAGCCGTAGCGCGTCGAGGTCGGCTCGGTCTTCTCCCCGGCGCCGCCCTGACAGGCGGACGAGCGTTTGTCACGAGCAGGCAAGGTGCGCTGAACGGGCAAGGCAGTACGCGCCGAAGGCGTCGACGACGTCGGCGGGGCGTCGTTGACAGACGCCTTGCCGGAGCCGACGCCAGCGAGGTCTTCCTCGTCGTCGAACGCGTTGCCGGAGCCGACGCCAGCGAGGTCTTCCTCGTCGACGTCCGTTCCGAGCAGGGCCGCGAACCCGTTGGGGTCGACGCGGCCGATCGGGGTGGGGTTCTTGGTGGTCTTCTTGGAGGTGTCGATCAGGTTGGGCTCGCCCTTGCGCTCGATCTTGCGGAGCGGGGAGGGGGTCTTCCACCCGTCGATGACCTGCGCGCGCGTGCCGTGCGGCAGACGAGAGGTCACAGGATCAATGTAAGTGCCCGCCTGCATGACTCGCGTGTCCCCACAATACCCGCGTGTGCTTCTGCTGGGAGGTGCTCACCGCCGGGGCGGCCGTCTCCCCTGGAAACTCCTTGGACGAGACGTTCCAGTCGGCGTCGACCTACGCGTCGAACGCGGGATGGGGTCACAGAGTGGGCTGGCAGACGCCGGCGCGCACAATGCCAGGCGCTCGCCGCCGGGGCGGCGGGCTTCTCCTCCGGAAACTCCTTGATCGACGGCAGCGTCTCGCCGCAAACCGCCGCCGGAAACTCCTTGAGGGCCGTGGCGACCTTGGTGGCCGGCTTGAGCGCCGGGTCGTTCTTGATGGCGCCGGTCTCGTCAACGGAGGCCTCCGCGCCAGACTCTGCCGCAGGGATGTCCTTCTTGAGGGCGCCTTTGACGGCGCCGGTGGGGGCCGTCGGTGGGCCGGTCGGGGGCGTAAACTTGGACCAGAAAACGGCGGTCGGGCGCGGCGCGTGGGTGGCGAACATGGCCTTGGCCTTGTCCGAGTCGACCGCGCCCGCGTCGGGCGCCTTTTCCGCGGCCGGGTCCTTCTTGAGGACGTCCTCCGTGCCAGACGCCGCCACGGAGATGTCCTTGACGTCGTTCTCGACGCCGCAAGCCTGTGGGCGAAAGAGAGTAGTACAGGCTTTCGGAGACGGGAGAGGGATGATCACGATCCTGGCGTGCGCACGCGCACCTTGGCTCCGAGGAGCGAAGTGGCCTTGGCCTTGGCCGAGTCGACCGTGCCCGCGTCGGGCGCCTCCGCCGAAGGGTCTTTCTTGATGATGCTCTCTTCGGAGGCCTCCGCGCCAGAATTTGCGGGGACGTCCTTCACGAGGGCGTTCTTGGCGCCGCGCGCCTGTGGGCCAGGGACGATAGAGCGGCGTTGGGACGGGAAGATCGCGCTGTTAGGATGAACACGCGCATAGACAGGCACCTCGGTTCCGAGGAGCGAAGGGGATTCCGACGCAAACGAGAGGACGATTGTGACTCGGCCGCCGTCGCCAGCCGGCGCGAAGCCGACCTTCGCTTTGTAGTCGATGTTGTCCATGATCGAGTTGTCCTGCGCAAGTCGCATCATCATGAAAGTTGAGACGGGCGCTTGCATTGGATGTGCACAAACAGCTATATTCGCTTTGTGGTGGGGGTCTGAACTGACACTACAGCTCTGTTGTGGACGGGATAGATAAGCCTCTGGGCCGGCACGTGGG